AATGCCACTCAGCAAGCCGCTGAAAGAGCTGCCCCCGCTGCAGCCGAAGCGTGTGCTGCATGCCCCTCTCGAAACTTACTCTACGACCACCAGTCTGTCACCTTCCGAGGCTTTTTGCGGCGTCCAACGTAGCGCTGCAGGAGCACAGCAGGCACTGCTGTCTTGTGCTGCAGCGCCCACCTTCGCAGGAGCTCAAGACGCTGCGAAGGCATCTCCAAAAGTTGGAAAAGATCGCGAGGATTCCGATATAACTCACGCGGCATCTCCGCTCCCTCCAGCTGCGCTGCTAGACACCGGTGCCGCTCCTTTTGGACCGCCACAGATGCAGCAGCAGCACGAGCAGCAGCAGCAGCGAGACAGCGAGTCGCTGGTGGATCCTACGCGTTGCGGAGGGGCCCCCAAGGGGGGCCCCTTTAGTGCGCCAGCAGGGGTTAGTGCGCTGCCTCGAGGAACCACGGGCAGCACGCCTCTTTTTCTGCTTCCAGATGAGAGTCTGGAAGGGGAAGGCTTAAATCTTCGGCTCGAGCATCTGCGGAAGGTGCTTCTGCTCAATGCGTCGCCCTTAACGCAAGAGGCCATCATCTCCGACGCGTCTTCTGCCGTGTGTCTGCTGCTAAAAACTGCGCCTGTGGCTTTCGGTGGCGTTCTTATCGAATCCTTAGAGGCACTCATGAGCTCCAACTTCGCCAACACCCCCTCTCTCCTAAGCCCTTCAACTTTGTTCCAGCTCTGCCAGCAGATGCGTCTGCAGCCTCAAGAGCCTCAAGAAGCATCGCTGTCTTCCCCAACACCAGCAACGCTATCAGCAGCAGCAGAAGCAGCAAGGCATCGAATCTCCCTTTTGGGTGCACCAGCATGCTGCCGCCTTCCTTTTGAGGAGCTGCAGCGACGCGTTTTGTTGGTTCGCAGGCTGTTCGCCTGCTGCGTCTCTTCCTGCAAGTGCGAAGCGGCATGGCTGCTCTTGCCGGCTCTTCGACATGCAACAGCAACAGCAGCACCAATGCCAACAACAGCAACAGCAGGAGCTGCCGCCTCCTCTGCAGTCCTTCGTCACGATGCGACGGAGGAGACGCTACTGCAGGCCGCTCGATGCGTTGTTGAGTGGACAGGTCTAGGCAGTCTGGCAGAAGAAGACGCGCTAGACGCCTTGCAGCTGGCTGCGCCATCTCTGGATGTGGCAGCCCTCCTTCTGCCCCCTTTCCCTCCTTGTCTCTCGGCAAAAGAAGACGATCTCGGCGAGACTCTGCGTGCAGCAAGGGCCTCTTCAAAGCCGCACGGAGAAAGCGAGGAGGACGCCGCTCCAGGGGAAAAAGAGGCGAAGACAGACCGCTTCGCGACAAGTCTCGTCGCCGCTGCAGCTGACAGCACCATCTGCCTGATTTTCGCGGTGAGGCAGCGCTCCGCCCTCCTGCAGCGTAGGACGGACGCTTTTCCCCTCTGCGTTGCCGCACTGAAAATGCACATGCTGCACGGTGCAAGGGTTCTCCTTGACTGCGGCGCGTGGGATGTTTTCGAGGACTGGCAAACGCAGATCGCCAGCGGCAGCAAACAGGAGGCATTCTGTCACGCCGCTCAAGTGACCTCGCCATCTCCCCCAGAGAGTGCAGGAGGAGGCGCAGGCGAAACACCTCCTCCAGGCGAAGCAAGCGATCTCGTATCGCTGGTGCTCCTCAACCTCCCTGTTTGCCAGTGGGAGGCTCTCCTAGAGAGCCTCCAACCTCTGGGGGCTGCCGCTCAACTCCTGGTCGCTCTCCGCATGCAAGGGGAGCTCAGGCAGCGTGAGCGGCAGAGGGGGAAGCCGCGCGAAGGCGCAAGCTTGCGAAGCACTGCAGACATGCGGGGCAGTGCTGACACCGACACTGACACCGAAGCTGCGCTCTCGACGCTGCTAGAACGACACGCAGAAATTCTGCCGTTCGCTGCCGCGTGGGAGCAGCGAACGGGGCAGGGGTGCTCTGTTTCGGCTGCTCTCTTTTCGCTCGACTCTTCTCTCGATGCGGCCTGTGCGGAGCTGCTCATGACGGCAGAAGAGGCTTCGTACCAGGCTTTCAGCGGAACGTTTTGGCAGCTTGCATGCAGACACGTGCTGTCGCGCCCCCAGCAAGCCGCCTTCACCCCCACGCCGCTCGCCACTCCAAGAGGGGCAGTGCTCCTAGACCTCGCCGCTTTCATTTCGAGGGGGGCAGCCGCGAGGATTGAACACTGGCGCTCTGGCAAGCAGCCTGCGCTTGGCCAGCAGGCAGCAGAAGCAGACGAAATACCCAGAGCTCTCGGGAGTGCCCTCCAACGGCTGCTTGCACGCGCAGAGGGCGTGGCACTCAAAACTCCCCCCGAGACTCTCGCTTTCGCGTTTTTCGCTTTGCGCCAACTCACACAGACCTTGAAGGCTTCTGAGGAAACGCTGCGTGCACCGCGGGGGAGCATCCCCGTGAGAGCGCTCTTGACGGAAACTGCGCTTTGCCAGGTTCTTGTGCGGCACACGAAAGCCCTACGCGCGAAACTCTCCGTCTTCGACGAAGCCCAGCGTAGTGATTTGGAAGAAATTGCGCCTCATTGCTCAGAGGGCCTCCAAGAACTGTTGGACACGCAAGAGAGGCACCTCGACCTCATGGCGATCTACGTGCTCTTCCCGCAGGAGGCAGATCGCCTGCTGCTGCGCTGCAGCCGGGGTGTCTGTACAGTCGGTGGGGAGGCTGCGGGGGAGCCTGAAGCGTTCAGCGTGGCAGAATTTGTGTTGAATGCCGTAGAAACCTCGATCAGGGGCCAGGAGTTCTTCGCGGCTGCCAGCGCAACAAGGCTGCGCTGCGCGCGTCTTCTTCTTTGGCGGGGTTACAGACTGCCACACAGGGACGATTTGGGGAGTGCCTCTTGCAACACCCTAAGCTGGCATCCTCTTTGGAGCGATAGGCTTGTCAAACTGCCTCCAGGAATCCTGCCAGACTGCTGCCCCCTTGGAGAGCCGGAAGCGTCGGGTTCAAAGCAGCATGCGGCGTGGCATGCGCTCCTTGATGCTGCCGACAGCGTCGAGGAGCTAATGATCGTTCGACTGCTTGCTGGACGGCATGCTGCAGACAACGTGAGCGGGAAAAGGTTATCAGCTTGGTGCGCTGCGTGCTAGACGCACGGAGTTTCAGGCCTAATGTACTGTTTCCGGGGGGGGGGCTGTGCGTGTGTGAAATTTCTTGCAGGCCCACCATGTCTGCAAAGGGCGGCCGTCACCGTGTATTCTGCTGATGACGCACGATGCAACACTTCATGAGAAAGCTGTCAAGGAGCTTCTTTTGTCAGCAGCTGCTGCGGCCGTACGCACAGGCACCAGCTCAGATTCAACTAAGAGTCTAAACGTGCTAGACGTGCACTGGCAGATGCTTCACCTCGCCAGAGGCGGCGTCGGCACACCAGCACCCCCAGAGCTGCTCGTGCTGGCCCACGCATTTACAGCTGCAAGCCTCCTGCTTTTGACGGGGCATGCTTCGACATTTGTCGGGACCCCCCTTTTTCCATTTATTATGGAGCTTTTGGGTGAAGATCTATGGGAGGACAGTCCTTATAGAGACTTGTATGCGGCGAAGGAGGCCCTCGATGGCACACTCCGGCAAGAAAACAAATCGTACTGCTGGCTCACGCGCACGCACTCCTTCCTACACAAATGGTGGATCCGAGGTTCGGGTGCAGCGCCTGAAGCGCCCATGCGAACCAACAGGGCTCTCGAGGAGGCCCTTACACCAAACGAAATCTGCATGCTCCAGGTGGTAGCCTTCCTTGTACCCTTTTTAGTGACTACACGGGTAACGCTGCAGAGAGGCCTCTTCTTGCAACTGTGCCTGCAAGGCAACTTGAACTCCGCGGTCAAGATTTTTAGGATATCCGAGAACACTGTGAGTACACACTCACAGTGGCTTCTCTGTGCAACACGCGTGCATCTTGATCGGAATTGCAGCATACAACTGCAGTATACTACTAGTCAGCTTGCCCAGCGATCACGCATACCACTCGGTTTGCATGCAGATGATCGCTTCTTTTTCTGCATGCAAATGTGTGTGATCAGATCCTGCCGATGGCTGTGCCAAGGTTTATGGAAATCTCCCAATACGTGTCCAGCATTGCCCTCTGCCCAGCACAGTACCAGCCAAGTCCCGAAATACAAGCTGCTTTTCAACAAACCAACACAGACAGTTCATCTGAAATCGCTTTGGGCGACAGCCCAGAGATGTCAGGCAGCCGATGCCCAAGCTTGGAAGGCTACTTGTCAGACTACGTACTCTGCCTAAGTGTCGCTCCTGCCTCTTACTCGCCGTCCCTTCAACAGCAGGTTGCAAAACTCATGGTAGCTTCACGCCACCCAGACGCGTACATCGAAACAGTGGAAGAGTTCACATTAGGGTAAGTTGCATCCCTTTAGACACAAGAAGCCGCTTGTATGGTGTTGAGCGCAACCCACAGAGAGTGGAGGTGCTGCAAGCAAGTGCAGCGCTATTCATACTGCGTCGTCTCACATCTCTCTAGAGCTACACAGCCCCACTAAAAAACTTTGTCCAAATTAAGAATGACAGGAAGGACTGTGTTTAAAGTTGCTGTAAGACTTCGTTGTGTGCATTCAACAACATGAATTTTGATTATTTTGATGGGTGGCGCTACTCTCTTGCGCTGATAGGTGCCTCTTGCAAAAATGATACAATTGGAGCATCTTTTGGTGTCTGTTCACAGGGCATCGACTGCAATGCGACATCAGCTATCGATGGCTTCTCGCTGTATAATAAACAATTTGTAAACCGGATTTGAAAATTGGACCTTCAAGTGTCTGTCAGAATAAGACACTCACAGGGATCCAAGTAGTGAACCAACTTTTCTTCAGCGTCGCAGACTACCGCTACAAATTTCTCCCACAATAAGGTTCTTTGTAGATTGATACAGGGAAAAGACATTACAAAAGCAAAGCCTTACTGGCCATAGAGTGCAAAGATTAGTTGAGCACCTATGGCCTGTTGATGCAGGTGTAATTAGTACACCCGTGTCTCCACTAAAGAATTGAATCTCTGTGGGAGGGAAGAATCCGGGGTTAACGCATCCAAAATGCGCCTTACAAAAGCCCCTATTCTCTCGTAAGAAAGCAGCTTCGCCACGCGTCCGTTGAAAGAAGGTACGAATTCAGGATGGCGGATTCTTGGTGGTTCTGGGAGGTGTTCAGCAACCCCTTCGACCATCTGGAAGAAAGTTGCATATGGGCCCTTAGGGATAAGTTAGGTGAGAGCTGGCTGCTTACAACTGAGATCGGGTCGCAAACGCATGAGAGAATAGCAATGTCATAGAATCGTTTTGAAGATGCAATGTAGTAACTGATCATCAATGACGCGAAAGTCAACGCGCTAATCGTCCTAATAGGCATCAAGGTGAATCGGCTGGGATCAGGACGGTAGCAATATTGACTGACAAAGTAATATTTGCAATACTTCCACCGTAAAGTAGGGGAGCGGTGGTGCGGCATGTAGGGGAAGACGTAAGTTCAATAGCCCCTAAGTTGAATAGGCGCAGGCGTGAAGAAAAGTCTCGAACAGAGGGAGCCAATGTGCACGTACCGCGCATGATCCATATGAGCGCCAGTAGAGGACTACGTAAAATGTGCATTAAATATTCAACAATCACATGAACAGTGATAGGCATACCCTCCTGCGAGGCAAGCTGAAATGTTAAAGGCAGTGGTTCCGAATTCGAAGAAGCTTGATTCGCCGTTCGTCCATATCAGCTTGGCCATTACTGCACAGAGCCTATAAGAGGGTGTTGGTATGCGAAAGTTGGACCGTCTTACGGTTGATTGCTTCTGTATCAAAAAATAAAGCGGTGGAGCACGCGACAGCCGTGATCACCAAGATCGCTAAGTAGTGCCGAACTGTATTGGTGCAAAAGTTGCATATGTAATTCAAGCAACTATACCTCCTAAGAGGCCATTCCAAAATGCCAGGCCCTTGTCGCAGTATACAGGCTGCTGACTCATGCCCTGTTGATGTACTTTAATGCGCTTTCGTGGTCGGCAGAAAAATGTATGCTTACAAGGATGAGTGCTGAAGTGCCCATGATCGCCGATGAGCACAGAAGGAAAAGCACCGACTTCTCAAGCCCACTGCGCAGGGCAATTTCCGATTGGTTTGATACGGGTTCGCATTTTGTCAGCTCCACAAGGGATCCGCGCAGCGATCGTAAGATGCTGTGCAACATCCTTGCGGCTGTTGTAGCCGGAAAAGGATTCTCCCAACCTCACGCCACGGCCAGCAGTTGGCACCGAGCCAAAAAAACTTCCACACCACGGCGCTAGCAGTGTCATGACAAACCGAATAAATCTTTCATGACACTTCGCGCATTGCGAGAAGCCTCGACCCTCACGTGCACGTACAGCCGACGAAGCTGCCCTCCCGCAAGGCACTGCGCGTCACTACTCATTGCTTTCGACATTTCATGGGTTTTCGCTAATTAAAAAGTGTTGATCCTATATGTAGAGCGTAAATAATAATACTGTTGCATAATGCCTAGATTAGCTTCCATGTTCCGTAGACAGTATGGGAATGCAGCTGCCCAACACCACGCGACTCGACAGCAGCGCTCGAACGCTATTGCCATATAAATTGCAAAGCTAAGAAACAACCATTATTCCCTTAACGGAATCGACCTGCCCTAGTATGTGGCACAGCTCTGCCACAAGGCACAGCCTATTGTCGTCCATGCAAGGCAAACGAGAAGCCCCTGTGACACAAAAAAGTATCTAGAAGCAAGTAGAGGCCGTGCAACATTGTACGCCTTGACACGCTTAATGTACCGAGCTGTATGTAATCCGGCCTATGAACACCGGAACGTTGTTGCAGCTAGCTGCTTCCTATGAGCTAGCACCTATGAAGCAGCAAGTATCTCGGCAAATTCATCAATGGCCGCATGTAAACGCGTCATGCAGCTTGCACTGAATCCAACGATGAGATCAAGGGTTTTCTCGCAGGGACCAATGCATGTTCGAAGGTGTATGTAAGTGTCTAGACTTTTTCAGCTCTGGGCAGCATCGCGCTCCTGGTTCCACTGGGCAATCATGGCGCGTCGCTCTTCACTCGTCCGCCTTTCCGGCCTTTCAGACCTATGGGGGCTCGGCGAGCTGCGAAACGCATGTAAAAATCATGCCCAACCCAGAACTATGAGCCATACGGCGACTGTGAAGGGGGCCACCCTCATTCATATCGCCTGCCTAATCAAGCTTACCGTCTGTTCTTGCGCGGTGAAGCAGAACGCGACCTTGATCGCCGTCCTCCCCGAACCTTATCCCTATACTCCGGATGTTCTTCGTACATCTTATTGAACAGCTTACGCTTCAACGATCGTGGAACGTGCTTAAGATGCATGAAGTTGCAGTATCCTCCACGGCGGCACTGCCCATCAACAAACTGGCGACAGCGGGCTTCTCGGAAGTCAGTTACAGGCGTGAATTCTGCTTGAATAGGCTTCCCTACGAAAAAACAGATCATAGCTTCAAAAGGGTACCGGAAAAGTCGAGGAGACACATCTGAAGGTCCATACATTCATGAAGCGATCCACAATCGTGATACAGGAAGCCGATGGTACAAGCAAAACGCTCACCAGCATAATACCGTCCCTGAAGTGCAGAAAGAGCCTTCTTTGCAGCATCATCGTCCGAGTACTTCACATACACATTTCCGATAATATGATCTCCAATGTTGTCACACACTACCATATCCTCGACCTCTCCGTACTTGTACAATTCTTCGAAAACCTCCGAAAAAAAGGCCTCAAAGTGATCAGCAGCTTCATCTAGGAGTTCATCAGAGACTGAACAAACATGCCACGTACTGGCAGCCCACTGACACGCCCCGAAGTCGTTAATAATGATTGTGCTGCCCCACAAAGCCTGCCCTATTTCAATAGCACTAGCAAGTCTTATTCCAGTGCTTGGTTCATGGGTCTATTCACCAGCGCACAAGCTATCTTCTCGTATGCGCTCACCATTTTGACCCTCTGCAATGGCAATCGCCACGGGGGGGTTGGGGTACATATGACGAAGGACAATAGTTGGAGACGACGAGGGCTTATAATGAGACCTTGAACACTGGTCACCGTGACGGCATGCCCCAATCTTCCAGTAAAATGGACAGTTTACTCTGTCCTCCTCTGTTCCAATAATCCGCGCCAAATGCTCCGCCATCGTCACTGGCGGCGGCCGCGCAAAGACTGCCTACAGCGAGCTGAAACCCAGATCAATGACCAGATCGGCCTGTAAGGAAGGAAACGGTATACAATGCAGTTGGCTGGGCCACGTAGGGAAGATATAATACAGTACTGCAGGGGGGGGCCGTCTTCAAGGAGTTCAAGGGCGCGACAAGTCGCTTCGTCCATTAAATATGCTCCAGAACGCACGTCGCACGGGAATAAGCAGTGATATTCCTCGAACGTGACGAAAATGCAACTGCTTTACCAGGAATGCCACGGCAACAGGGCGGTGTATTCCGCGCCTCTGCTATGCTGCGTACCCACGAGGCGTAGGCCCAAACGAGGTCAAAAGTATGTTCTGAATCCCTGGTCATGAACAGCTGGTAAAATACAGCCAATACGAGTGATCCAGCACCGAGGATTCGCCTTGATTTTCCAGGGTCGAGCACGCACCATCTAATTGCGCACGGATGCCTGGTGGCTGCGTACGTGCATGCTACTCCCCACATAGAGCGTGAGTCCTTATATATTTGCATTTAAACTGCTTTTGCTTAGCAAGCTTCGTGTTTAGCATTTAATTTCAAAAGGATCGGAAAAATAACAAGAACTATTTCTATCTGCACCTCGGTGTGGAGATTTGCACTGCCACCACTGCAGGGCTGGACTGCGCTTACAATATGAGACATGTCAATCGACAAACCTTCACCATTGCCCGCTCGTTTTGTTAGGATAAAGGTACACTTTAGAGCAGGAGCGAACTGTGTAGTGCTGCATCCGTGTACCTTCTCGAACGTGATTATTTGAATGCGTACGCCTGTTGGGCTCAACTGTTGTAGATACTTTTACCTTTTAATGCGATCCTCCTGGTGTCTGCATGAAGAAGGCCCCAGCTCCAAATTCCACCTATTAAAGCACAAGGGATGTCACTATGTGCTGTCTCTGAAGAGCTCTCTGGAGTATGCCCACACGGTTTCTACATGAGGGACGGGAGGGCAGTCGAAGCGCAAGGAGCCGCGCCCTACCTTGAGCATTTGCCCACAGTTGTGCACGCAGAAAATGGTGACACAGGAATACAACGCGCACTTGTGTTTTGTAGTGCCAGCCCGCTGTGCAACTGAAAAGCTGTAACGTACCTTGTTATGTTTCTGCAGAGAGACGCTTCAGTCCAGGCTGAATACAAACTCGGTTAAGAGTTGTGTGTTCTTCAAACAAGCTGCTTTCTTCCCCAACCCGGGGCCCTCGGAGCTTCCACGTTAGGGGAGGACAGCTAGGGTGTGCGCAGGTGCACCCTTGAAGCACTTGGAAGATTCACAGCTAATCGCGTGTATCATCATCTAGGGCAGACCAGAATAACTGGCGTCTGCCTACAGTGAGGGAACACTACTGTACAATGTACAAGATATACGAGAAAGTAAACCGATTAGTTAATTCCTTGCTGATTTTAGTTGAATTTTAGAAATGTGGCAGACGATGCTTAATTGGAGCGTCGCCCGATCCATGCTCAACAAGACGGATCTAACCATGCAATCAGCGCTTAGCTCATCCTATAGCATGAGTAACTGTTGTAAAAGGAACTGCGATAATGCAACTGATTATCGCATAGCATCTGCTATGGAAGAGTTCCTGGTCCTCGCCGCCCTTTAGAAAGTGGCCTATGGGCGCCTTCGATCTGCGGCAGAGCCAGAAAAAAGTTACTGCAGCCTTACAGCACCAGGCTGCACTAACGGAGATATGGAAATATATATAAGCGCTCCCAAAATGTCGAGTTGTTAGAGGACAAAGCGTACAATAGAGGTTTTTGAACTCTAAACTGGCAATGGCTTCTACGAGGTGTTTCCATGACTAAAAAGCGTTTTTAAGATTCGTGTCACTCAATTTTTGCCTTCACGAGACAATGTTTAATAATGTCGAGACTCTATAAGCATTGTGGTATGGCTCTATTGCGCACCTGAGAAGTATCACATTCGGTTTATTTGCGGCTCCTCAGATTGAGATCTGATCCCTACTGCAGCTTCACAGCTGGTTTACTGCTTTCAGGGGATCGTGTGTGCAGTACAGCAGTAGCGGTCTGGGTATTTCGAATTCATCCAACGAAGGCTGTCTGGAGGGGTACGGACAGCACTCACGAATTCCCGTTAGGCATCACATATTGATCTACAAATACGGACCGCTACACAGAGCCGCTCAAAATCAGGCTTGAATGGAGGAGGCTGCTGCCATGAATGATAAAAGTACGCCTCTCAATTCAACTTTACGACCAAGTATTACCCTTTACATTGTACTGTGTCGACTTTAGCCATCTCAAAAGGCAGTAGGAATACCCATTCGCGGCAACGCATGCCATGGTAGCCTAATGCACCTCTTCCCCTACCATGGCTCGTGTAGAGCAGACACATGAGAGCCTTCGACCACTGCAGGCGTCAAACGCGGTTACAGGTTGCTCACTGCATCGAACAAAGCCTTCAAGAATTAAGAGGCACTTTGATTTGTTCAGCTCTTAGGTATTCCGGGGCACCCTATCCCACACACACACTGCAATGTTTACTGAATAGCGCGGTGCTGCAGCTTCATAGATGGATGCATCCGTGTCTGCACAAGCACCAAGTTTGAAATCCTTACCCCTACGTGGTTCAATGCTGCACGTAAGTCAGAGAAGGGCAAGCAAGAAAGAGCAGGTGCGATTGCATGCGCACATTTGCAAGACGTCCATGGCAAATCATCGTATCGTTCTGAATGGCAACCAAAGTCAATATGCCTGCTTTCTCCTCCTCTGTACCCCTGCTGGCCCGTGCATTGAGGCTTGCTGTGCCTGCTTGCCATTTCGCAACTGCGCCTTCTTGCTGCAACTAATCATTGCTTATGCTTTGTAGTCGCGAGGCGTAAATTCTGGTTTCAAGTGCCACAGTGTGTGCCAGATGTTAGGGCTGCCTTCGGTTGATCTCGGGTTACCCATACACCCTTCCCCCCGTCCTTTTCCCCATCCATCGAAGCATGGGTGTTTCAACCCGTCTGCGCTAGAGGGCTGCACGACTAGTACTTAGAAAGTATGGCAGCGCTAAAAAACTACGTTGCGTGCGTCGGCATATACAAGTTGGATCGCCGATGAGCCGGAGAGGGGCTCCCCGGGGGGCCTCAGTTTTGGTACTTCCGTGCTAGGAAGTCGTTTGGAGCATCGAGCTGTAGCGCGTCGATGCCTCCAAGCAGCACGCAGACACAGGCAATTCCAGCCATGAGCAGCCGCCTTGCAAGTCCCGATCCGCAATCCTCCTTGTCGCCAACAACGACGATTAGCGGCAAGCGGTGCATGACGGGGGAAATCCAGGGTTGTAAGACGCCGCTTGCGGCTGGCGAGAGTCCAGACTTCCATTGCGCACCCTCTGAAGGCTCAGAATGGGGCAGACCAACAGCGGCACTCGCTTCGGAGGCTGCCTGAAGCGGTTCGAGGGGTGACGCGTTCCCTGCAAGAGTCATCTTCCCGATGAGTGGCTTGCTACTACCGAGCTTCTGCACTTGCACATGCACGCCCTTAGGGTCTGGTAGCGACATTTGGCCTTCTTTCAGCAAGCAGATAAGCTCTCCCACGTCTTTTGGCGTGATGTGGATGGACTTGTTGAAGTGCAAGACCTCGAAGAGAGCTCGAGGGCGCATGTCCAAGACAACGCTTTCCTCACTGAACTGCAGCAAGACGTCAACTCCAATGCAGGGAGGCTGCAGCGCCTTTTCCTCGAAATCACCGGCTTCACTGGCGAGAGAAGGAGTGCTGCCTGTCCCGCCAGCATTCCAAGACTGCGAAGTCGTCTCTAGGAATGCCGCTTCAGTCATTTTTTCCCACCACCGAGACACAAGCGGTTCGCTCGAGTACAGGGCTTCCATGGGATCAGCGCAACATCTGCAGCGAACACGCAGCGCAGCCTCACAGAGAGACATAGCACACCACTCACGGAGAATGCAGCGATGGCTTGAAGGTCTTCTAGTTGATCCTTGCCTTGCCGTGCCTCCCATCGACGGAGCAGCCATGCGCCATGCGCCATGCGCCATCTGGACGCGCCATAGGAAAAATCGCTTTCCTCGAGCGCGTGCAGGACTGGGCAGCAGCGCAGTGTCTAGTGGTGGTCTGAGAGGGCTCTAAATGGCTTAATTTGAGAAGGCTGCACGGGAAGCTTTCTGGCTCTCCCGCGTAGCCGCTTTCGCTCACCGTTTGCCCTCGTTTAGACCGCCTCGCTGGAGATTTCTGGCAGCAGTCGTCTTCCGGGGTGCCCCCAAAAGCATCAGCGCCGGCCCTTTGACAACGCGCATAAGTGCTCTGCTTTTCCAGCTTGCATGTTTCCTATGGGAAGCGCCTTGAGCGTCTCCCTCGCAGCTCGACGGGGTGGATGCCCTCCCGTGGACTGCGCTGGGTTTCTCCGCATTGCAGTGGGGAAAGCCTTCGTTGTCTTGCGTTTGGCCTTGTTGTTGGATGGAGGTGTGAGTGCGGGTGAGTTCCTTGTCACCGATGAAGAACTGCTGCGCTTCGGAAGCCTTTTCGCGAACGAGCGTCGTCGCATGTGCATGTTGGGGGTGGAGAGCACCATCGGTAGACACTGCTTCCAGCCGCTTCTCGCCGCTGCTTGTCTCGACGACGAGCCTCTTAACGGCCTTCCCCGAGTCTGCTGGAGGCTTTGAAGCGCGGTCTGTTGCTGCGGTGGGTGCGGTCTGCGCGCCTTCTGCTGGAGCGTCGGTAGTAATAATGCCCCCGCATGACGGCTTTTCCGCCGCTTCTGCGTCTGCACGAACCTCTTGAGGCGAAGGCAGGAGGGCAAGGGACCAGGGGACTGCGTTTTGCAGTGCCACAGCGGCAGCGCAGAGAGCAGGAATATTGATGAACGCGAAACACGTCTGCAACAGGCGAATGGCCGTCGACTCCTCCCCCGGCGAGAAGCTCATGAGGGGCACTCTCAAGAAATGCAGAATGCAGAGCGTCAAGAAGTGCACGAACGTAGGAGGCTGCAACAGCAAGGTATCCCACAGCAGCAGCAGCTGCTGCAGCGGCAACACGTGAGAGAACAGCGTCAGGTGCCAAGACAACGCATACATGTCGGAGTGAAGCCCTGAAAGGCACACGGAAGCCGCACGCAGTCAGTCCGTAAAGTATGCCTCACCAAGACGCCGTCCCCCCTTCCGCTGCAACGCGTTTCTCTAACGCAGTCGCTCGTTAGAGGCCTCTTTTCTCGCTTGGGGCGGAGGATTTTTACACCCGCTTGACCCCTTCTAGTCGATTTTTCTCCCCCTTTTCTGTGCTGGAGTGCGGGTGTTTCGCTCGCCTAGTCTGTACAAATGGAGGGCCAGGGTAGGATCTACAAAGGCAAGCAAACGGTTGGAAGCGGCAAGCTGCCGGCGAAGGAAGGAGGCGCTGTCAGCAGCGAAGAGGTGCTGCTGGAAATCCTGTAGCAGCTTCTCAAGGCAGGCCAGAGCCACATTCTCCCGCTCATAAAACAGCAACAACAGAGGAGCTGCCAAGGCGTCCATCCCCCGCACAGAAACATACAAAGGATTCCGTTGCAAGGCAACCCCAACCAACGTAACTAAACGCCGTCGGCCCTCAGTGCTCCCCAGCAAATCGTTGTACTGCAAAAATAAAAAGCAAACCCACACACCAGCGCATGCAAACACACACCTACATATACATACACATACATACCCAACACCCATATACATATACATACACAACACCCATATACATATACATACACAACACCCACATACATGTACATACACAACACCCGTATACATGTACATACACAACACCCATATACATATATAGATATATAGATACAAATACGTAACAATACATACACACACAGGTACACGCATGCACAGCCATATAAACGCATGTATGAAAACATATATATATACATATACCGATTTTACCGCGATCACTACACATACAAAAGCGGAAGCTGTTGGCTCTGCAGCAGCGTTGCCTCTGTGGCAGTAGCAGATGTGTCGCTCGGCGTGCTGCTCACTTCGTGGTACTGTGAGAATTCGCTGGACTGCAGAGCTTCGAGAGCAAGGAATTCCAGCGAGGCAGCGGCTTCTTGAAAGGCCACGTTGGTTGTGTGCAGCACACCGACGAGGTTGATGCCCATGAGGGCTGCCCACACCTGTTTGCGAGTTGAAGAAGAGCGACACACGCAGCAGAGGCAGAGCCAGCTCTTGCAGGCATGCCTGATTGCTGACGGAGAGGCAGCAGCAGACACAGCTGGCCTCCACGCCATGTGGCTGCTGCTGCGTAGGCAATCCACTAAGGGGCAGGAAGGCGAGCGCTTTGGAAGGGGTTACTGAACAGAGGCGTGGAGGCAGAAAAGCAGACAAACCTCAGGCCGGAGCAGGGGAGGAACATCCTGGGAAGCCTCTTCCATGAGGCGATGTCTGCTTTTTGGCAGCTGTGCGAGCAAGGATTTAAAGAGTCGAACCCTGTCGAGAGAAGCACACGCGCAGACATTCCCGTGGTGGAAGAAGGCTTTTGTGTCTCTGCAGAGCTTATCCACAGCTGTGTGTGAGTAGACAACGTGGAAAGCGGTGGTTAAACCTCATGCATCTGTGCGACTCGGTGCATACACCCACATCCATGCATGCATACACAGCCAGACATACAAAAAAATACAGACAAACAAACACAGACATAGATACACAGACAGACACACAGAAAGATACAGACAGACACACAGAAAGATACAGACAGACACACAGAAAGATACAGACAGACACACAGAAAGATACAGACAGACACACAGAAAGATACAGATAGACACACAGAAAGATACAGCCAGACATACAAAAAAATAGAGACAAACAAACACAGACATAGATACACAGACAGACACACAGAAAGATACAGACAGACACACAGAAAGATACAGACAGACACACAGAAAGATACAGACAGACATACACAGAGACACACACACACAGCCACACAAACCGGCAGAATCAGAAGCTGTGTGGCATGAAGAGGTGTACAATGCCATTGCGGGAGGAGGCAGTGCCTTCTAAGTGTGCTGCGGCGCGTATAAAGGGGCCAGCCTGGTCGCAGTGTGAGAGACCAAGCTGGGGAGACGATAGGGAGGAGCTGCAGCAGAGATCGATGCTTGCCTGAGGCGCTGATAGAGGAAGTGGCACTGCCTCCTGTAGACGCAGGGAGGCCTCACCTGCAGCCGCAAAGAGACACCGGAAAAGCGACAGAAGAGCAGTCAACGAGCAGTTAGCGCGGCAAGCAAGAGGCCTCTAGAGACGAGCGTTTCTTCCCGTGTTGGCGGCTGTGAGAGGAACGCGTAGGGGCAGAAAAGTGAGGAGTAATTCTCTGGACTTGTAGCTGCTCATGCTTTCAGAGGCAGCGCTAGAGCCTATGAGAGCATAAGCAGCCACAAGTTCAGAGACTTCAGCGATCGAAAAAGGTGTCCATCCATCACAGGAATGCCGCAGGGAAGGCAGGGAGTGCAGCAGCGAGCAAGCAGCAGAGAGAGCGCCGTCCGTCGTGCGCTTCAGTCTTGCAGTGCGCTGCACAGCCTTTGAGTCGCTCACTTCCAGCATTTGAGTTACTGGAAATCGGTCTGCCTCCTGAATAGCCTTCACCGTATCTTCTATGCTGACTTCTGAAGCAGCAGAGTTCGCAGCATATACATACGCACACACACACACACACATCCACATACACAGACAGACAGACACCGACACAGACAGACACATACACAGGCAGACAGACACACACAGAAACACACAGACACAAAAACACACACAGACACACAGATACACAGACACACAGATACACAGACACACAGACACAGACAGACACACAGACACATACAGACACACACAGACACATACACATACACACAGACAGACACACACACACATACATAGAAACACACAGACACACACACACATACACACAGACACAGAAACACACAGACACAGAAACACACACAGACACACAGATACACATAAACACAGATACACAGACACACAGATACACAGACACACAGACATACAGACACACAGACACATACAGACACACAGACACATACAGACACACACAGACACATACACATACACACAGACAGACACACACCGACAGACACACACCGACAGACACACACACACAGACACACAAATACACAGACAGACACACAGATACACACACACACACAAACACACACACAGATCGGAAAAGCACACATCAGAACTCCAGCCACAAGAGGAGCACGTATGCCGTCCACACCTCGAAAAAAAACACACTTCAAAAACACTAATTGACCCTAACCCGTATCAACAAACCCATACACTCTGT